TGAAGGAGTATTGCATATTATTCCCCACCAGGGGGTGCTGTAATAACCAGGGTTTGTCTGTTTGTCTGGTGTAAGTTTAGGTTAGTTAGCAAGACCACCAAATATCATGAACGGATTGAAAAATCTGTAAAAATCGCATATCAGGAAAGAAAAGTAAGTAATCTTTATTTATATACCGCCTTTCACAGACCAGAGTCACAAAGCGGTTTACAATTGTTATTTTTTGGGCATTTGTCTCTCACTCCACACAGAGATGGGAGCGGGGTCGCCAGTACATGAGGCGCATGTCAGACCTATTGTACATATTTTTATTGGTAGGGGAAACCGGATTACCCGGAGGAAACCTACGCAGACACGGGGAGAACATGCAAACTCCACTTAGGACCTTCTTGCTGAGAGGCAAGAGTGCTATCCACTCAGCCACCCAAAAACACAAGATAATGGAGATTTGGATCAAAATTGGGATCCAGACCTGCTCTTGGCGGTGGTCTGTGCTCTACGTGGTAGTCTGTGCTCTACGAGATCTCTCTTATTTTTACATGTTCAACCTAACAATGTAAAAATGAACGTTTTTGTGTATTAACCTAAAAACCTAAAGCACACGCCTTTTCTTACTTTTCTATTTCATGCAAATCTATTCAAATGAACTCCGCAGCTCAACATATTGTAAACATATATATTTCCACATTATCTGAACAACTCAATCACGTAAAAGTCTTGTTTTTGTCACAAACACTTATTATCACGGCGTCACATCGGGCCCTGAACGCACCATCCCGTTAATTACACGACCGGATGCTATTGGTTTGTATTTATGTTTTATGCTAATACTGTTTGTCTCCGTAATTAAACCCTCACATTTTCAAATGTATTTCCCTTATATTTCAGGACACAGACGTGATTGACAGAACCGTAATCTACTGCAGCTTTTTAATCAGATTTCTGCTGCTGTGACCACGAAGATTCCTCAGACCTATTTGTAATTTGGGGCTGGTGCTATGAGACTTGGGTGGCATCTCTGACTGCCACCCCCCTGACCCAGAAATGGATTAAAGGGAAGAAAATGGATGGATGGATGGATATTTGTAATTCAGAGAAACGAGCTGCTGTGACAGTTAAAAAAAATAATAAAGTGAAAGATTATGACGACACGGCCATTGTTAAATGCTCTATATTCAAATATTCCAGTACCTTTTCACTCCATTCCCAAAAACACACTTTGCTTTGACAATACACACTTCAGACTATGACCATGTGTAACTCAGGACCGGTCAGGACCTCAGAACCCGGTCTAAGGTCCTGACCAGCAGTGTGGGGGCTCCCCAGGGGACAGTCCTCGCTCCATTCCTCTTTTGTGTAGCCCGAAATCACAAAAGCAGTTGTCTTGGAGGACTAGTTTTCAATTTGCCAATACAGATCAGAAAATCAAACTGTTTCAGCAGCCATTGGTTTAAAGGGACAAAACTAGGTCAAAAAGGGCTTTATTTGGGCAAACGTTATGTTCATTTGAGAATTTTCCAATGGGACAAGAACATATTTTTTGGGTTTTAAAAGATACAAGATTATAGACATTATAGAGCTTTCTACAACATCAAAGACATTTCTCATGAGCCTTTGAGCCCAAAAGTTGTGGGTTCGAGCCTACCACGAGATCTTCTCTACTGACTCCACTGATGTCTGCTGTTGTTGTGTCCTTGGGCAAGACATTTAACCCACTTTGCCTATAAGGAGCGCGGAAGTGATGCTCGCTGCTTGCCTTGATGTATACTGTATGTGTATGTGTATGTATGTGTGTATGTGTATGTGTATGTATATAAGTATGTATATGTGTATGTATGTGTATCTGTATGTACAGTATATGTATGTGTGTATGTATGTGTATGCATCAAACATAATTTTCCCCATTGTGGGACAAATAAAGGACCTTCTTCTTCTTCTTCTTCTTCAAAGTGATTCTATCTGTGCCTAATGTGATATGTACATTTCTCCATCAGAGATCAATAAAGTCAGTCTTATCATATCTCATCAAATTATGTTCTGTCCCTTTTCGCAGTGCAGCTCCGGGTCCTTGTCACAAACCCTCCTTTCTGGTCAGGCAGCAGGGGCAGCCTGGGATCACTCTGTCACTCAAGTGGACCCGCTCTCAAAAGCAATTACTCCTCCACTTTGTGCCTTCATTTTTTCACCGAGAATATGGGGGGTTCTTCAAATATTTGCGAGGTGACGGCGGGACACGGGAAATCTCATTGTTTCTTCTGATGCAATATTAACACGGGTTTGAATTTGTCATTTGTGGGTGACACTCGTGAACGGAGACGCCACTTTGATGTCATTTCCGAGTGGCGTGATTTATCTGTGGCTTCGTTGTGATAACATTTGCAGAGAATCATAGGTTGGAAGATGGCGTTTGACAGCGTCCTTGGGAAATGGGAAAAGATACATTTTTTTTGGGAGCGATAACCACCAATCACCTCCATCACACAGACTCTATACTTTTAAATACTTCTTCTTCCATCACCCGCCTCTGTCCTTTCTCTGACCGAGCAGCAAAACTAACCGCCTCCTCCTTTTCTTCTTGTCTCAGAGAAGATTCCAGAAGCCACTCGCTCCCAAAGTCCGTCAAGGTCGTTCTTTTGATCAAGTAGAAAACAAAATTGAACTGGTTTTTGGGCCGTGTCAAAGGTTTCATGCGTCTGATTCCTCAAAGAACGGCTCAAAGAGAAAGGTGTCTAGTTTTTATTCCAATAGAAAAAAAACGCCACAACAAGCTGCACTGAAAAAAGTAAAATATTGGTAAAATGTACTGTATTTACTAGTTTTTTTATTTGAATCCAGTTTGTCATAAGATTATTTTACTAGTTTAAAGACAATAATAATTCATATTGGGCCTCATTCACGAACGGTTCTTAGGAACAGATTTGTACGTAAATCCTACTTACGCGGTTTTTACGAAGAAAGTGGCATTCACGAATATTTCTCGTAACCAGAATTTCTCTTGGGCAAGTACAAATCCTACGAGTCCTCAGGAGCACTCGTACGCATTCAGTGCCGACATGTTCACACGCGGGGGTTGTCCTCTTTGGTGAAGTTGAATAAAAATACAACATTCCAGTGATATGTCCATCATATCGATGTATGTATTTATTTATTTGTAGTAATCTTTATTAGTAATCTTTATTTATATACCGCCTTTTTCACTGCAGATCTGGCCTACTTTTTTATTCATTTTGAAATGAAATGTGCCAACGCTTTATCAAATACATTGGAAATCTTGCCGTGTATTAGTGACCCCTTCCTATTTATAGGGGGCATTTCTTTATCCACGGGCCACAGAACAACGGCATATATACTGCTGCTGCAGGAGGTTACTGGGTCCGCGCTGAGTCTCTGCGCTGGTCTCTCCTATGGATCTATACGGGTCTGCACTGGTCTCTCCCATATACGGGTCTGCACTGGTCTCTCCCATGGATCTAGACGGGTCTGCACTGGTCTCTCCCATGGATCTATACGGGTCTGCACTGGTCTCTCCCATGGATCTAGACGGGTCTGCACTGGTCTCTCCCATATACGGGTCTGCACTGGTCTCTCTCCATACGGGTCCGTGCTGCATGCTCCTGGATCCATACGGGTCCGCGCTGGTCTCTCAAGTCTGGTCTATGCGGTCTATCTTCGGTCCGCGCTGGTCTCTGCGCACCGGTCTCTCCAGTCAGGTCACTCCAGTCTATGCGGTCTCTCCTATAGGTCCGCGCTGGTTTCTGTGTGCTGGTCACTCCAGTCTCTCCTCGGGTCTGCATTGGTCTCAGCGCTGGTCCGCGCTGGATCTCCTCCCAGGGTCCAAAATATTTTGAGATTAATCTCAAAACATTTTGAGATTCATCTTTAAAATAATACATGATATATTTTTAAATTAAGCTCATAACATTTTGAGATTAATCTCATCATATTCTTAGATTAATCTCATAATTTTGCTAGTTCGACTTTATTATCATAATATTTCGACTTTTAAGTCAACATTTTATAACTTTATTCTCAGTCTGGTAAAAGAAGAAAAAAGGCCTGTTGCTGTTTCCTCTGCCGTCTGCACACGGCCCTGCAGTCCCTTATATGGGCATTAGTGGGCGGTTACTTATGCTAAGTACCTATGCTAATGAAGCACCTAGCACTTACGAGGAAATGGGATTCATCAATCTGAGAGAACAGCTGCGAACAATTCAGCGGCTTACGAGCGCGTTGATGAATCCCACGTGGGGACTTCTTAGAAATCTACTTAAGGACAACTTGAGAAGAAAGTTGAGTAGTTTCTTACAAAGTTATTCGTGAATGAGGCCCATTGTTATTAGAGAAAAAGTCTGAGCAGTGAGTAATAAGCAAATTTTAAGTAAATTTCCTTCATTTTTCTTATCATTTTTCTTGTTTTAAACTGTATTTTACTTATTTTCATTTTTTTATTTTCATGAGATTTTTACCAGTGTTTTCCGTGAGTTCATATTTGACGGTGTTGGATGAGAGAAGCTGATTCACCAAGAATAACATGATTATTTATTTTCTAAATCTAAGAACATCAGTAGATTATTATATAATGTGTGTTTGTTTTTTGTAAGTGGGTTTTTGTATTTTATTTACGTTTTGATTTCTATTCATGATCCAAATTTGATTGGCTTGTTTTAGATTTATTTTTTCCCAAAACTTTAAAAGAAAGGTATGTGGGCATGTAATTAAACATGGATACAAATACTGGTAGTAGTTTGGGTAAAACCTGTGGCAGGACAACTCATGGGGTGGGGGGGTTTGTTACTCTTTTACTTGGTGTTAAATAAAATGACGTCTGTATTTTACAAGACATGCATGTACTATACTGAGAGAAAAACAGAAAAGCCCTGTGAAAACCACTCTGCCACGGGTCAAACAGCCCTTTCTCTGATCAAGCATCGGCTCAGAACTTTGCAAACACCGAGATGGACTGACACTTGTTGCCCTTTGTAATCCTCATCTGTGTGTTTTTACCATCCTGGACCTGGATCATAAACCGTAGACTTTGAGCCCGGTGATGGCGGTCTGGACTCACCGTTGCGGTCGATGGCGAAGGGCGTGTTGCCGGTGCTGATCTGGTAGTTGCAGATCTGGCTGTACTGAGGGGAGCAGTCCTGGTCCGTGGCCTCCACCTGCAGGATGCTGTCGTAGATCTTTCCCTCCGTCACCGCGGCGCGATACTGCGGCTCCCGGAACACGGGCGCAAACTCGTTCACGTCGTTCACCTGGATGTGCACCACTGCTCTGTGAACACAAGGGGGCAGTGTGGAGGTCAGACTCTCCATTCAGTTCATTTCTATTCAATGTTTTCTTGTTTAGCCCTAACTGACAACAGCACAGTGGAAAAAGTAACATTTTGGTCAGATATTTTCACTAAAAATAACTTAAATGATGCTTATTTTTTCAAGTTTTTTGTTGCTGCTTGAATGTAGTTTGTCACACGATTATTTTACTAGTTTTAAGATACTTCATAATCTCAGAGAAAAAAGTCTGAGCAATGAGTTTTTAGCTTGTTTTAAGTATTTTCTCTTATTTCCAGACTTTTCTTGTTTAGATAAAGACAAGTTTGTGATGCTGTATTTTAAGAAAACGATTCTCAAACATTTTTAAGAAAGATACTTGAAATGTTTTTAAACTAGAATCAGGTCACTTGGGGCCAGTATTATTTTATTATTTTCAGAAATCTTAAGTCATATTCTCTTCCTATTTTTGGGTCATTTTTATTATTTTAAGCAGGTTTTTACTTATTTTCATATATTTTTTTCAAGGGATTTTTTCCAGTGTAGTAATCTCTGAAGACTATACAAAACCTTTCGCCAACACAGGTCAGAGAATCCAAAGAAATGCAATGATAAAAACACAGAATATTGGTCCATAAAGAGCAGAGACCAAAGTTCGTAAATGTCGAAACTCTGACTTGATAAACACAGAAAACTGTGGAGCGTTTAGTTTCACGGCAAAATGTGGCCGGAGACCGCGGTGCAGTTTTGAATCCGGGATGGGATTGGATTCTATGCAGCTAAAAACAGCTAAACAATAAAAATATTAACATATTTTATTTATTGTGCAACTTACATTTCCAGGAAACCTCAAAGTGCAACAGATTTAAAAACAAAATCACAAACAACAAAACAAAGTAAAATAATCGGACGGATTGAAAAACATCAAAAATATATATGAAGCTAATACAATCCCTGTTAGGCCTGATTAAAAAGGACGGTTTTTACAAGATACAAGATACAACAAGAATTGATTTGCTATTTGCAGTAAAACCACATCGGAAAAACTGCGCAAGAAGACCCCAGTGGGCACCAGACAGAGAAGACGGCACACACCAGAGCTCTAGCCTCTTTTAAAGGCCTCCACACTATGATCATGTTAGCGCTAGCATGCTAACTAGCTAAAGGCGGACCCTGTATCTCCTTTTTCTTTTCTTTCTTTTTTCAAGCAATAATGAGAGGATCAGAAAATCATCCTCACTGCTAGATGACTCAATTTTCTGTCACAGATTGCAAAAATGTCGCAACAAATGCAATAGTTAAAAGGTGAAAGAGTCTTAAGTCCAGTTTTCTCTTGAACCCGGGCCAAAAGTTGAAGACCGAGAGATGTTATTGGTGAGTTGTTCATGTCATGCACCGCTCTGTAACTCGCCAATTAACCAACTTTTCTTTCAAACGTGAACAAAGCCAGACTTTCTACAGCCGCAGACTGCTTTTACACATGTCGTAGTTATTAACAGCCTATTATTCACGGAGCGGTTTCATCTGCAAACCTCCAGATTTGACCTCCCTCAATAAAGTCACCAATTACTCCTGCAGTAAGAAGTCAGCTTTAGCGCCGCGGCTACAAACGACATGTGGATTTTCCGGCATATTTTAATGGATTTATCTTTACGTCAAGAAATAGTCTATCTTCCCGAACACTAAAGCCGCGGTCCTTTATGTGCGGCGAGGCTCGGGCTGGACACATCCGGGAAAGAACAAAGTTAGTTCCCCTCATTACCGCAGCTCCTCAGATGATTCTTTCGTTATGGGGTCAAACTCACGGCGGGGGGTGATCTGTGATGAAGATTCAGTTTGTTAACCTCTAAAATCACATTTCCATCCGGGGCTCGTCTGTGATTACAGTGATCATGGCCCAACATTATCGGGACGCAAGGTCAAGTGAAAAACAATTAACTGCATGCGGCCTTTGCTGTTCGGGGGAGGGCTGTGCCACGGGTTCTTTATGGAAAATACAGAAGGAAATGGACAATCTTTGCACCGTTTATTTTATATTAAATTAACACGGCAGATCTACAGAACCTGATGACTTGTACTGTATCTGGAATTGTTTTGAAAGGTTCCTCCTGTCTCGTATGTAGAAAGAAAACATAGCAATGCACACAAACTATTGCACTATACAGCTAACTAGCACTGAAGCTAGCTTTGTGACATCCGCTTTTGTTTTGTGTTTCCCTCAATTTCATTTCATTTCATGTATTTATTTAATATATATGTTTTATTTTGCTCTCTGGTGTTGAATAACTGTCATAAGGAGCGCCAAAATATGAAAAATAGAGTACGCAGCCAGCCTAGATGTTTATTCATCGAACTGAATTTCTTCATCTGTGAGATAATAAAGGTTTGATTGATTATTTATTGAGTTGGGACAATGCACATTAATCAACATTTATGCCTTAATCCTTTACAGATCAGCCTCCCTTTAAAAAGAGGATACATGTATTCATTTATTTATTTTCATGTAGATATTCAGATAGATTCAAATATTTTTAATTGAACAGCACCAGTATTAGAATTCACTTGTGTGTGTTACCTTTCAAATGAGGCATAACACAACATCAGACACAATAAGCATTTCCATTTGGGTTTCATAATTCGAGAAGAAACAGGCAAAATGAGGTGATCCTTAACAGCAAAAGGAAAAAGGCAAATGGAAAAACGTCAACAATGGGAAGATAAAGCATGACTTGTAAATGGGACGAAACAAAAATACATTGAATTGATTTAACACAAATCGTTGCATTTTGTTGAAAAATATCATTTTTTATTTTATTTTGTTGTTATATCACTATTACTGCAAAAACGCTTTTCTTTATGAACTGCTAATTTAGGTAAAATACTGACAATCATCATTTTCTTGCCGATTATCACGACATTTACCATTCACGAAGAACATAATTGTTGTTTTCGGTCCAATCCCTTCCTCTGAATGTCTCCTGTCCTTTAGCCACAGTCATTTAGCTTCTCTCCAACACGCTGAGATAATGAATCAATGCTAAAACGGTCTCCGGACGCTTTTTCATGTAAACTCCCTCATATCGAAGCAACAAAACAGTCCATTCATCAAGTAAAAACGCCTCATCAATACCGAGACGGAGCCAGAAGGCGAGAGGAGCGCTCAATCCATCGTTAGCTTCGTGAAGTGACAATAGGAGACGGATGGTGATGGTCGCAGGACGGTTCTGCGCCGCCATTGGCCGGTGATTGTAATACTTTAGCTTTACGACACTAAGGGGAGCAGATGAGGGCCTTGTTTATGGGACTCGCTGGTGGCGACGGCAGCGACTGTGAAAATTCCCCATTAAATATAAACTCAATGGTAAATGGTATGAGCTGAGTGGGAGACACGGGATGGACCATGGGCAGAGGAGGAGCTGATGGTGTTTGAGCATATAGACTATTTATAGATCAGTGGTTTCAAACTAAAAGGGGTTTTATGGTTAATAAACTTAAAGCGTGAGTGCGGCCCCCACTGATGCAGATATGGCATGTTATACATAGTTTTAAAGAAGCAGTCTGTAAAACTGTGGCCAAAACTGGTACTGCAGCCTCTTCCACTCTCCCTGATATCCTGGTTTTATTCCTCGTTTTATCGTTAATGATTTGAGAATCATAACGAGACAGACACAGAGTCTGAGACAAACACAGAGTCTGAGACCAACCCAGCGGCGCAGAGTCCCGGTGATGATGATGATGATGATGATGATGATGATGGCGATGATGACGATGATGGTGATGACTAACTACATCATCACATATTGTAACGAGTTGTACATAGACAGAAATTCATTTTAAAGCTTCTGTTCGGATCTCCGGGCGCTCCCTTAGAGATAGGGTGAGGAGCTCAGTCACACGGGAGGAGCTCGGAGTAGAGCCGCTGCTTCTCCACGTCGAGAGGAACCAGTTGAGGTGGCTCGGGCATCTGTTCCGGATGCCTCCTGGAGGCCTCCCTGGGGAGGTGTTCCGGGCACGTCCCACTGGGAGGAGGCCCCGGGGAAGACCTAGGACACGCTGGAGGGACTATGTCTCTCAGCTGGCCTTGGAACGCCTTGGGGTCCCCCCGGACGAGCTGGAGGAGGTGTGTGTGGATAGGGAAGTCTGGGCGTCTCTGCTTAGACTGCTGCCCCCGCGACCCGGCAACGGATAAAGCGGAAGAAAATGGATGGATGGATGGATGTTCGGAGTTAATGCACTGGTAATGATAATTAAAGTTTCAGTTTAGTTTAGTTTATTTTGAAACATGTGTGCATACTTCCTACATAAGCCGTAAAACAAAACCAAAATTTCTAATCCATTCACATGTTCAAAAGGGAGTAGGAAGAAGCAAAAGCTTATATGGTCCTACCCCTGTGAACCTTGAATCCACAAATTAAGTGTGAAAGGACTGCAGGCTAATGTCGTGGGCGCTGAGCAGACTCTGGGCCAAAAGCGGTAAAAGTTTTCAGCAGAAATAACCCAAACGGACAGAGCTAATGACGAGAACATCCCTGGGTCTGCTACGTGTGGACACAGCCCAATAATTATCACTTTGATTCACGGCTCCACCGAGAAATACATTTATTTGATAGATCCAATCTGTCTGAGAGGAACTAGCTACAGGACCGGACTAGACTGGACTGGACTACATAGATTAGATTAATAGATGGATAGATAGATTAAATTAATAGATTAATAGATTGGTAGATAGATAGATACTGTTTGATGGTCTAGCATTAGCCTGGTCTTATCCAGCCGTACACTCTGATCAATCATCATTTCCTGCATGTAACGTCTAGGTCTGGTCCCTGTGTTTGCGATTACAATCAATTGAATTCCATCCAACCAATCAGAGAGCGCGGCAGGAGGGTGTTGTAGTTAGATGTGGGTGACGTCAAGAGTTTGCGCCGAACGGGCAGGTTGTAGTTTGGCGAAGAGTGCGATAGAACCAGACCAGAATACTTTAATTTCAAGAAATTGAAGCCG